TGGAAAAGCAGAATGTCTGAATAAACTGAGAAAACCAAATATCTGAGTAAAAAGGTAGATGCCTACTACACCATAAAAACATAAAAGTGCCAGACTGAATAAACTGCAAAATTTAATACTGTCAGTTATGAGAAATGATTTTAAAGTCTTAGTGGGAAATAATTCCTTACCTAAGCAAGAGACAAAACACTGAAATATCTGACTAAATACAAATTTTAAGTATCTACTTGGGGCAAACACACCATAAAGTTAAAGACAAGCGAAAGACTGGGAGAATATACACACAAAAGGTTAATTTCCATGACATTAAATATTTCACCTAGGTCAATGGGGGAGGGACAAAGTGTCACTATTTTAGCAATATTTTAGCATAATGGTATAAAACAAAAATGAAAAGACTATAGTCTGCAAAATACATGGAAAGGTATACAATGCCCAGCAAACTGGATGTTTTGGAAGGTGAGTTAGGGACATGTGTTTTTTCACATCTATTTTCAATGTTGTTTGAATTTCTGACCACGGAATGCTAATTTTATAATGTCAAAATAATTTTTTTTTTTTTGAGATGCTCAATAAAGGTTTATTACATTAAAAATACATCACTGGGCCTCAGGCACTCAGGGCTCAAACCCATGGGGCCACCACCTCTGAATGTGGAACACACAAAAAGCAGCAGCGGCTGAGGTGCCAGCTCAGGCTGTGGCCTACCTGGCAAACTCCTATGTGCCCTGTCTCAGTCAAGATAATTTTAGAAGGAAAGTCTGAAAGGCAAAACTTGAAGTAGATGAGGGCCACTGAAGGATTTTTTTAAAGGGAAGTATAGCATGGTTGGATTAGTTTTTCTGACAAATCCCTGGAACAGCTTTACAAAGAATGGCTATGAAAAGCACCAGTTTGGAAATATGACTCGTAATGATTCATTTCTCTATTCAACAAATGCTGAACACTTATTGGGGCTCGGCACTGAGCTAAGCATTGGGACCAATTATAAATGTTGCAAGTTGTCTCAGCAAAAGATCAAGTATGCTAGATATATTATACTTTGTACACTGGTATAAGGGATGTAAGGCACCATTTGAAAGGCATCTGTGGATAATATTCTTCTGATACTCCTTATTTTACAAGAGGACCAGATATTCCTGATAATATAATCCATTTTTTGACAACTCGAAAAAGCAAGAAGTCCATATCAGCCTGTTCCTACAAGTAACTGTCTTGTTTTCAAGATTCTCTGACTTGATAAAGCCCATGTTCTAAAAATCTTTGAATAAAGAAATTTCAAAGCCACCCCTGGTCATTTTCTCCATATCTTTTTTTTTTGATTCCTTGGTTTTGTCAAAAGATGACTAAAAAAAGAGGACACAATATTAAGAGTTAACCCAAAGGAAAAACATTTTAGTGACTCATATTAGAGATATTTTTAATTGTGATTTAATCTGCATTGGTTTCTTTTTACAGTTGACATGTTCCCATTTTATCACACCCATCTGCTATTGCAACAGCAAGCCAGTTTTAACAAAAGACCATGACTATACATAAAAAATGTTTTAAACTTTCTCATCTTAAAATACATTTTTCAAAAGTGTCCACCAAGTGAAGGCAGGCATGAAAAAAAAAAACAAAAAACTCTGCTGGTAACTGACAAACAATTCATCCTACCATTTATCTTTCATGTTTAGTCGCTCTGTGACCCTTTGGACTGTAGCCCGGCAGGCTCCTCTGTCCATGGGATTTTTCACGTGAGAATATTGGAGTAGATAGCCATTTCCTCCTCCAGGGGATCTTCCCAACTCAGGGATGGAACCAGCAGGTCCTGCACTGGCAGCTTCATTATCACTGAGCCATTGGAAAGGTCCCACCATTTAGCTTAGGGTATGTCAAAAACACGAGAGGTGTGGCAGCAGCTCCAAGTTATACCACTACCTGAGAGCTAACTGCTTAAATATTTGGGGCTGAGGCTTCTGGTTAAGCAGGCAATGACCATCACCTTGACAAAGTCAACTGCCTGAACGAGCTTTTCTTAAAGGTACCGTAATGCTACCACAATTCTCCCCAAACCATGCCAACAAGGTCCCCCATTTTTATAACTCCTGTCTCAAATGCATGCTGTGGGCAATGCCAAGCAAAATGCACGTCAGTTTCTGAGGAAGTGATTATGGCAAGCATGACAGTCAAGACCTAGATACCCCAAGGCAGTTCCAACTTCACAGTATTTTATTGTTTTCACATAAGATGCCTGTTTAAATATGTTAGTCAGGATGGTTTTCACCCTAACTTTATTTTTATTTACTGTTTTACTTTGCCCACGCTGGGTCTTCACTGCATTGCCTGGGCTTTTCTAACTGCTTCATGTGGTCTTAGTTGCTCTGCTACATGTAGAATCTTAGTTTCCCAACCAGGAATTGAACCTGCATCCCCTGCATTAGAAGGTGGATTCTTAACCACTGGACAAGTCCCTCAAGATGACTTAAGTTATACTTGTGAAAGACTTTTTAATAAGAATAAAGTTCAAACCCCAGAAAAAAATCTTTTCAGACTCTTGGTGGTGCATACTCAGTTATGTCCAACTCTTTGCAACCCTTTGGACTGTAGCCTGCCAGGCTCCTCTGTCCATGGGATTTTTCAGGCAAGAATACCAGAGTGGGTTTTCATTTCCTTCTCCCAGGGATCTTTCCAATCCAGGGATCGAACCCGAGTCTCCTGCACAGGCAGAGTCTTTAATGCTGAGCCATCAGAGAAGCCTCAGACTCTCTGTAAAGAACATATAATCATATGGAAAAAACCTGGCCTAATCCCCAAGCCATCCAGAGAAAGAGCAGCATTTCTTCCCAGACCGATCACCAGAAATTACAATGGATTTTAAAAAACAAAAACTCCTTTGCCAAGAGGAGAAGTGGACAACAGAGGATGAGATGGTTGGATGGCATCACTGACTCGATGGACACAAGTCTGAACAAATTCATGGAGACAGTGAAGGACAGGGAAGCCTGGTGTGCTGCAGCTCCTAAGGTCGCAGAGTCAGACCTGGTGACTGAACAACAAATAACAACAAAAAAACCCCAGTCAACAGCACATACAAAGTGACTGACCTCTATCTCATAAACAGAGGGGGGAAATCCTCTAGTTAAAAACACAAGAGACGATGAGGCAAGGAGAAAACACTGAAGACTGAAAAAGGGGGCAATAAGCGGCACTTACCAGAGCCCTTTGAGTAGGAATATTTAACAACTGGCTATTGCTATAACCATCTTCACAGCTTTGAAAAAGAAGGTTCACCTAGACATCTAATCTAATTTCACATGCAGAGCGTCAAAGATTTATTCCTTTTACATCCCGTCAGATATCTGTTCCTTTTAGCCACAACTGTCACTGCCCTGAGCCACACAAAAAAATTTTTAATATATGTAAATAGCTGCATTCCTTGAATCTAAAAGGAAGTGTCTGAGAGGCCCACAACTCCCTTCTGAGAGATTACAAACAATTTCTTTCACTTTAGTTGCTACACTGGTATCTGAACACCTTTCAACTCTTGCCTTACCCAAAAGATAACCATCAATAGACAAAGGAGAAATTAGTGAACCATGGGGTGGCCTGGTGTAAAATTAATAGTAATGAGAGTCTAACCAACCCAAACACATCAAATCTAATGGGGAGAGGAGGGCACTGAATTTGAGCAGAAGTTAACAGGGGAGACAAAGTCATAAAATTGGAAGACTCACTACATGAGGGAGCAATAAACGTTTGCCACAGAGTAGATAAGGTGACCAGGTTGCCAGATCCAGCCATTTGATGGGCAACTGGAATGGCTACAGAATCTAGGACAATTAAGTACTATGGTTCCAATTCTCTGTAATACCAAACTATATGACCTAAAACTTCCCTGTATTTCTGTATGTCCCCGCACACCCATATTAAAAGCTAATAACATCTACTTACATATGGTTACTTCTTTTTGGAAATGAAAAATATTCTAGAATCAGCAGAATCTTTTCCTGACTGCATTTATGCAGGATCTGCAAATCAGGAGGCTGACTAAGCCTACTGAGAACTCCCTTAAATTGTTGAGTCTACTTACCTAATCTTTTTTTTCCCCCAAGAATTAGATGCCAGACTTCTGGGTAAGGATGATGGACTAAACACATAGCTATTCACTGATCCTTCCCAGAACACCAAGGGATTCCTTTTCTTTTTTTTTAATATGAAAACCCACAGAGATAAAGAGAACTGAAGATTACAGCCACAAATTTTTGAAAGCTGGAAAATAAATGGTTAAGAGGTCAAAGACCCAAGAAAACTGAATCCTAAGGTAAGCATCACGACTGAGTGACTGAACTGAACTGAAGGTAAGCATCAAGGAATAGACCTCCAAAAGGTTCAGTGGGGATAAATGGGAAGAATTAATAAAAAATCTTTCTGAAATGCAATTCTCAGATACCCTTCCACTCCCTCAGGCAGGCAGATAAATGCCTTTCCTTCACCCATGCAACACTGAAAGTAATCTAAGGAGGTTTATGAATAAACAGGTTTACACGGACTGGAGATCACTAAGTACGGTGAAGACAGTTTAAGCTAACATATGTACTAGATTCCAGTCCCCAGTATGTTGATAAACAAATGTATAACAACTGGCTGGGGTCTGGGGAGCAGAGGAAGAGGGGAAACAAGGGTAGTTATTTGTAATATTTGCTGCTTACCATAGCTGCTTCAAGCAACCAACCAATGTCACTGAATGCAGAATACAGAGGAGATGCCTATGACAACATGGTGTTCCCACTCTATAGATAGATGTACATACTCTCAAGAGCATCCACAATTAAAAATGTAATACATAAACAGAAAGTGGTGAGCTTTTAGTATTTATTAATTTTAATAGAACATTTAATAAGTCTGTATAATCTTTAATAATTGTTGTATGTAGCAACTCACTCACAAAGTTCCTGAAAACAACTGTCTCTGACATGCTAGTACTACCCACTAACCCCAGACCCCTTTGTCAATACCTTTCTCAAAAGACTGACAGCCAGGCCTTCACTTCCAGGCAGTGATTAGAAGAGACGTCTCTTTTTGCCCAGCGATTAGTCTACAAGGAAAAATATAAAAATATTGACAAGTTCTCAAACTATGTTTGACCAGCCAGATCATCCTACTTCAATGCTCACAATTGATAAGTCCTACTTGCATGTTCAGAGCTTCCAGTCAGCTTCTTAGGATCCCACTCTTAAGTATCAGGAAACAGCCAAGAGTCATTAGACATTCTAGTATAAAAGACAGCAATGGAAATAGAAAAGGCAAGCTGAGAGGCCTGGGCAGTCCCACAGCGCTCTGCACTTTGAAGAGCTCCATGTTAGGTCTCATGCTCTGCTGCTGCTGTCTTAGAATTCTTCAATAATGTTAAACAAGGGGCCCCACGTTTTCACTCTGTACTCAGCCATGAAAATTATGTAGCTAGTCCTGACAGAGACTATAAAGGCAGAAGAAAATTCTGGGGAGAAAGACATATTAATATTTTCAGAAATATAGCACAAAATAATATAAACATGAAGCAAGAACAATATTTTTTTTAAAAAAGGACAAAAAAGAGACAATCAGAAAGTGATCACTAGCATACTTCCTTGCTGATTTAAAATGTAAGAGCTGAAATGAAAAACTCAATAGAATAGCATAAGAATTCTGGAAGATGAGTCCAGGAGGTCCAACATGTGAATAATAAGAGTTCAAAAGGAGATAAAAAGGAAAAAGGGAGAAGTCATCAAGAATGTGCCTGTGATGCAGGAGACCTGGGTTCAATCCCTGGGTCAGGAAGATCTCTTGGAGAAGGGAACAGCAACCCACTCCAGTATTCTTGCCTGGAGAATTTCATGGACAGAGGCACCTAGCAGGCTTCAGTCCATGGGAGTCACAAAGAGTCGAACACACATCAACAAAACAGTTCCGTGATTGAAAGGATTCATCAAATGCTCAGCACAATGGATGGAACCAAACTCACGCTAAGGTATATTACTGTGCAATTTTAAACACTGAGAAACAAAAGAACCGCTCACATAAATAATTAGGAACTTAACGACTTCAGCTTCAAGAACAATGCAGTAAATGTGGAGAAAACTATAAAACAATGAAGTCATGCCTTGAAAATTTGCAAGCTAGAACTCTATACCCAGCCAAACAATCAATTAAAAGTAAGGACAGAGTAAGATGGGTTCAGTCATTCAAAGTCTCCAAGCTGATTAAAAATCAAACCTTCCCTTTCTCAGGAAGCTATTGGAGAATATGTTCTGACAAAGTAAGACACAAGAAGATATGAGATCTAGAAAACTAGAACTCAACACAAAGAGGAAAAGAGTAACCCTAAGATGCTGGTGAAGGGAAGACCCAGGCTAAGAGGTACACATAAAAACAATGGGCAACCAGTCAATATGGGACCATATCTTCAGGAATATGAGAAGCTAATAGAACACCTTAAGTGTTAGGATTTCCTGAAAGCAAATTTGGGCAAGTTGCAATCTGAACTACAAAAGGCATTAATATAAAAGTAAGCAACAACAAAGAAAACAGAAATTTCACAGAAAACCAAAATTGTATAGAAAAGTAAAAGTGTTCACAGATTGTTAAATGGCTTAACTGTGAATAGCACATTCACTCTTAACTGTGTAAACATTGAACACTGATCTAAGCAGTTATGAACACCTATACCAAGATGGGAAAAGAAAAAAGTTACCTAGGGATAAGGAAAAAGAACTAAATCTTCATCTGCCATAATGGGAAATAAAGTTAATACCTGAAGCTGAGAAATCAAGAAATCAGAATATAAGAACACTATTAAGAATGACAAGGTTCAGAACTTGCTACCCCAAAATACAGTGCCTTGGCACAGTGAATATTTTACGCTGAAGAAATGTGAGAAATGACAGGTGCAGGAAGGACTATCTGACCTCTTTGGACTCTGAAGCAGGTCCTAAGAACCTCGTGTGAGAAAGGCCTTCCCTATACCTGGAGGAAAGGAGGATCCTTATTTCTGAAGATGAGTAGACAAAGAGAAATTCAAAGTAACTGGCCTTGTTAAGCTTCCCATTTATTAACCTTAGCTCATATTATTTTGTCCTATCACATTCTTCCATGACTTTCTACTCTTTCAAACTCAGTATCAAAGTGCTCAGGCCTGGATTTCCCTGGTAGTCCAGTGGTTAAGAACCCACCTGCCAATGTGGGGGACAAGGGTTGATCCCCGTTCCGGGAAAATCCCACATGCCAAGGAGCAACAAGGCCCCTGTGCCACAGGTACTGAGCCTGCGCCCTAGAACCGCATGACTTTACAAGAGAAGACACTGCAATGAGAAGACAATGTACCACAACTAGAGACAGGCCCCGCTCACTGTAACAGGAGAAGGTCCACGCATAGCAACAGAGACCCAGCGCAGCCATAAATAAATAAATACATATGTGTGTGTTAGTCACTCAGTCCTACTCTTTGCAACCCCACAGACTGTAGCCCACCAGGCTCCTATATCCACGGAATTCTCCAGACAAGAATACTGGATTGAGTTATCATTTCCTTCTTCAGGGAATCTGCCCGACCTAGGGCTCAAACCTGGGTCTCCCGCAGGTTCTTTACTGTCTGAACTACCAGGGACGTCCACAAATAACTACATACACACATTTAAAAAAAAAATGCTCAGGCCTAACCACTGCTTCAGGTTTTCATTTCCTTATCACACAAAATCTATATTATCAATAAATAAATTTGTATGCTTTTCCTTTGTTAGTATGTCTCTTGTCAGTCCATTTATAGGATCCTAGCTACAGAACCTAGGAGGATAGTAGGAAAAAGAATTTTTACTCCCCTCCAAGAACACACAGGTAAGAATCAGCTATAAGAAATTAAAGCGTTTGCCTCTAGGGAAGAAGTGGGGGATCAAGTGGGAGAACTGCTGCTTTTCAAAACAAGTCTTAAAGAGCTACTGAATCATTAAACTATGCACATTTAACACACTGATAGAAAAAATACAAAATAAAAACAGAAAAACTAGAACCAAGTTCAGCTTGATTGAGTTCATGATTCTTTTTTTTTCAGATTACAAGTTTTCCCAATAAGAAACTGTTCTCCTTTCATTTGTTGTATTTCCCATTTTTCTACAATTGATTACTCATATAATAAAAAGTTAATAATCATCTTACTACTGTCTGATATTCTAAGTCATCTGCAAGTCCAATTGGGATATTCCTATATCATATGATACTCAACCTGACCCAACTCAGGAAAAGGTGGCAGTTATCCTTCACGGAGTTACCATAGCAATTTATACCAAATGACACCCTATCTCACAAAAGGTTTCCCTCCGCAAGCCTACAATTCTGCCAAAACACTACAAAAAGACTTTCCACTTAACCCTGTGAGAAATTCAAATAAAAAACACAACAAACTCCAGAATGTGCCTTTAAGGGGCAACAAATTCAATTTCTTTCATCTCTTTATTACCCTAGACACTAAAAGATTTCCGTACATATAAATTACAATATACAACATTTTAAATACAACTGATAGCATTTAATATTTTTACTCTTTCTTTATATAGCTGTCAGGCTGACCTTAACTAGCTAGCAAAGTTATTATACAGTCAGTTTACAAAACACAGTTCAGGTAAGTAAAGGCTGTCACATCCTCTTGTGCACCTCCAGAAGATGGTAGTCATGGTCAGCACAGGATATTTAAGGAGGAATCTGCTTACCACAGAGAACTGAGCCAATCTGCAGACAGATGTAGTCCAGTCAAAGCAGCTACACATGTTTTCACTTATTCCTTTAAGAGTGATTTGATTTGTTTGGATTTGGTATAGAATCATTTCTGGATTTAAAGAAAATGAGACAAGGTTTTACAGCTTGTTATGTTATGTTAGCAGAAGAGGACGACAGAGGACGAGATGGTTGGATGGCATCAATGACTCAATGCACATGAGTTTGAGCAAGCTCCGGGAGGTGGTGAAGGACAGGGAAACCTGGCATTCTGTAGTTCATGGGGTCGCAGAGAGTCGGAAATAATTGAGCGACTGAACAACAACAAAATGTTGGTAGGCAGGCGGCTGTGAAGAAATTCTAATCTAAAAAGATTCCTTTTGCACTTAAAACTGAGGTGGGACAGACATACCTGAAGTCATAGTCTATTTACATTTCTCATCTCTGTTTTGCCTAATCATGGCAAAGACTATCTTGTCCTGTTATTAATCATTAAACCCTAGCATGGCAATGCGGCCTGTAGGGTTATGAACACTCCTCACACACATACCTCTAAAGCCAGTAAAATAAGTCTTTGGCATTAAAAAAAAAAACACCAAATTTTTCTCAAACTGTCACTAAAAACAAGCTGCTGCCAGAAGAAGCTCTTTGTCAAAGTCAAATTAAACTTTGCCAGTACACACGAAGAACATACTTTCAGATGAGTGGCTGTTAACCAACTTATTCTTAGAACACTCAAAACTTCATGGCCACACTAGAGTGCTTTAGGTAAATAATACTAATCTCTTCTGGCTTCTAGGTAGCTTACAGCCTTAGTAAAGTTCATTTGGTTTCTTGCTACCTTCATCCATCCCCATCTAGCCCTCCCCACCAAAGCAGCTTTTTGTGTCATGTTTTGTTTTTGAAACAGCTTGCTTTTTCCATCCTAGGTTTTCCCAAAATATTTCAGGGTTCTGACAATTCTGCCAGTGACTAAATCTCCTGGGAATAGCTGCCTCATTATCACTATTAAAAACAGTCACTCCTAATAATGACTGATAAGAATCTGGAAACTAGTTGTAACTTCAGGAATGCACATCCCACCCTACCCAATCTAAAGATAAATGTATTACAAATGGAATAACAGACTCACCACAGGACAGAACTCAAGCAGTCTTTGTGTTCCATTTAAGCTATTGTCTTGTGTAATCCTAATTCTTACTACTATGAAGAATTTACCATTACCTTCCTCATAACCAATTAATATGTAAATTACTAAGAGTCAAGCAAGCACAAAAGAAAAAAGGGGGGGAAAAAAATCACAACCCACACTCAACACAAAAACTCAGCAGCAAATGCCGTCATGTTTTTAAG